AAGGGGCCAAGGCCCCTCTCTGTCCTCCTGAGCGACTCCCTCTGGTCCCTCATCCACCACAGCAGGCGTGGCCACCGCTGCCACACCTACTCCTTTTTCTTCCGTGACAGCCACCCACGCTGCTGGTTCGAGTTCCTCTGAGGGTGGCCCATAACCTGGCCTTGTTGCTGCCTCAGTGGGTTTGGCAGTGCATGCCCCACCCACCGAAGTAACCCCAGGGAGATGCACACAGTAGCCTTCTAATTCTCTTGCTTTTGCCTTAGTGCCTTAGATATGAGACCTTTTGGAGAGGCAGAGGCACTGCCGACAGACCCCGAAAACCATTAGCCATGCCTGAGGAATATAGGGAGCTCACACTTTCACTTGTAAGACATTTTGCCATCAAGGAGCAGTGCCAAGCAACTACCATAATTTTTTTTCTTTTTTGTTTTTCAATAACCACGTGAAAATGATCTGTGGGCTCATGTGTTCTGATTTGATCTTCATACAAAGAGTATGGCTTTCTACAGATGCAGTGTTCCGAGCAAGACTCCTAGAGTCTGCAGTTTGGTGACCAGGAAAGGGTAGCTGTGTAGGCCAGTGAGCTTTTGTAGCTCTCTAGTTTAAGCCACCCTTTTGCAGGGGCAGTTCACTTTTTAGTGTCAGGGCTTCTTGGTTGATTAGACTCATGGAAAAACTCAACTTTTGTTTTCTTTCTCCTTTTTTCATTTTTTGCTTTGGGTATTATAAAACATTTTCCCTGTGCCTACTGCTACCTGCCAAGAGCCACCATGTTTGTAGTTTTCATTTTTCACTCCTTTAGTGTGGAAACCCACAGAGACTTTGAGAAGGTGTTTTAGAATTCTGCATTACATTTCTGATGCAAAGCCAAAATTTCTGTGAGTCAGTACTTCTCAACATTTATTACCTCTTTAAGAACCATTTTTAGACACTTTTACCTAATTGCACCCACCATGCAATTTTAATATCACAGAAATATCATTTATGTACTTCATATATAATCTATATGTAGATATATGTCAAATATAAAAATATATATTCTGTGCCTAAAAGGAGTATAATTTGTCTCACCTCAAAGACATCTGTTTTTTTCCCTTTTGAAAATACAGGCTGTAAGATTAGGTTGTGCTTGTTAAAGATTCAAGACATGACAAAATCCTTTATTTTCCAAAGGAGGGAAGAAAATGGGCTGTTTTTTGTCTCCATGGTAATTTTTAATTGTATAATTTAGGGCCTTTCTAGATTTCAGAAAAGGGATGGCTTATTCTTTTTTTAAAAATTATTTATTCAGTTGTAAGCTTGGCAATTGTTTTCTGATTTTCAATTATGTCTGTTTTCCTTTTAATAAAATCTTCCATTTCTGCAATTTTCCTTTCTGCCTTTCTTTTCTTTTCCTTCCTTTGTCTCTCAAAGATCATTGGATGTTATCATCTCTATCCTTTCCTTTCTTTATTTTACTGTGTTTCATTGGATCATCTAAGAATATGTTTTTTGGATTAATTTCCCAAGTATATTGCAGAATGAGATTTTTAAAAATTTATTTTGACCAATTCATCTTTATTTCTTCTAACCTCAGACTTAGAAATATTTTTGTGATAAGTTAATAGAATAAGAGAAAATCCCACTTGATATGCAAGGTAAATTTCATTTGTAGCACCCTGTTCCCAAGAAGCTAAATTACTACCATTAAAAAGTCATGTCTTATCACTACACCCTGTAACTCATCCTCATGATAAAGATCCTTTGGGCTCCATTTTGTAGTTCTCTGATTTCTTAGCTGTTTAAAACACAAGCAATATTTTATTACTCCTTCTATAATTGTTGTGTTACTGTGTTTAATTTGATAAGGGGGGATGTGACATAGAAGTCTGCCTGAAGCTTAGCTTCTGTACCCTGTAACTATAGTATTTGATAAGATAACCCATCTATTTTGCTGTTTTCCTTATTTGTGAAATAGGCTTATAGTCGTTAAATAGATTGTGGTGAAGAGTTAATGCGGTGTGTTTTGTATTGTGCCTAGCACCCAACAGATACTTATTAAAACTTAGGCACCTCAAATTTACTCTAGTTCCAGCAGCTCAGGTCTCAAGGGCCCAGGTATCAGTGTTGAGACCTGGGCCAGCATTGTGCTGGGATCATGTTCCTACATCATCCTTTTCCATTGACCCAGATGAGAACCTGACAGGATTCCCTTGATCTCCATCTACCAGCCTAGGTGAAGGCATCTAGGCTAAAGCCCTTGGAGAGTGCTAGGTGGGATCTTAGCAGACAGACCATTCCTTACCCATTTGATTAATCTTGCCATCTGCTTATTGTGTCAACCGAAATAGCTGAGCTAGATGTTTAAGAATGCTAGCCTAGCACTCTGTCTGCATCTTATGAGTTTTAAGCAGGTAAAAGAACAAACAAAATATTCCAACTGGAAAGAGGGATAAATCAGTGTTAAAAAGACTGAGGAAGGTGGTATTTCTTCCCTCTGTTTTGTTCTTCTTTCTGATTCATTATAACTGAGGCGATACTTCCAAAGAAACAACTTACTATGTAATGAGGGAAAGCATACACTTCTAAGCTGTGTGTTATCCTGCAGGTTTTATTCTGACTTTTAAGCCCCAATGCTCCTCTGACATAGTAGATTTGGTGTTCTTCTCTTTAGAGGAAAACTTTTCAGATAAAACAGTGGGGTGTGGAAGAAAGCAGACAGAGGGAAGGGGGCCGTGACCATAATTATGTTTTCCCTGCTCTCCACACCCTTGTTCTGTAGAACTCTTTGGTTTTGGTGCCAACCAGGAACTCAAAGTTTGCCTCTTTCCCCAGCCTGTAATCATGAGGGTGGGAAGAGTAAGCAGGTCCTAGGTCCTAGGTGATATTAGCTAATAGCACAGTGCTTCTGCTGCTCTGTAAAGGAAGCTAGGCAAGGTAGTGAACTGGGAAAAAAAAGAGGCCTAGGAAATTGGCAACCTGGGATCAGCTCTGAATATGTGATTCATGTTTACTCTTTAATTTTCATGCCTCCTTGTGTCACATGAAAGACTTCAGGCAGCCAGGAGATGGATAGAATTCCTAGGTGTTGGTTCTGGCTGGGGATGTGGCAGGGCTGGGAGGTAGGAGGTGTTCTGCACAGGTGCTGGGTTCAGCAAACCCTGCTGGAGCCTGAAAACTAGCAAGGAGTAAAGGGTTCCTGAGCCCCACAGCCTGGCATATCTGAAATTGAACAGTTGGGCTGGAGATGGCTTTCACCAGGAGTCACTTGTGTAACATATAAAACGCCTGCGTGGGGACTGGCGACCCCATTCAGGGACGTTATTTTCTAGACTCCTGAGGCTTTACATATATGAGGCTGCCTCATTGCTAAGAGTCCTTCTACATGATTAAGAGAATGGACACATTCCCCGTCTCGGTTTCAGGCCCGGATGAGCTGCTTGCCACCTGTGTGCCTTCTGGAAGTTACTTTTACTTCCCTGTGCTCAGTGTCCTTGTCTGTAAAATAGAGATGACAGGGTTATCGTGAAAACTAAACAAGTTATAGACATAGACCTCTCAGAAGAGTTTTGACACTTAAGTGGTCAGTAAAGGTCGACTGTTCTTATGTGAGTAGGGGATGCCCAAGGCGTGGGGTAAAAATTGAAGTATGATATACCATTCAGCATATTTCAGGGGAAATTGTACTGAGTTTCCTAGGCTATGTGGTTTCAGGGAATGAATTAATTCCGTGCATTTCTGTAGCCTCCTTAAATCCAAACAAAAGAACCACTGTAGCCTCATTTCTAGAGCCCCATCCATGGGTGGGTGGGTGAGGGGTAACCTGTGAAACAGGTGGAAGATCCAAGCCTATGGGACTCTTTCTAGGGCTTAGACCTCCAGCCTCCCTGAGTCCTTTCCCACTGGATTTTAAGCATCCTGAGCCCCTTTTAGGAGGAATGAGGAAAGCTGACACTTCCTTTCCACTGTTCTTCACTTTCCAGAGTCTCTTGGCCTCCCTTCCCCAGGTCGAGGAGACATGGACATGTTGTACTGGGAATTTCTTGTCAGCGTTTAAGACCCTAGGATGCAGTCCCAAGTTAGACATGACAGTGGCTTAAGTCTTCTCCCTGGTACTATTTTATTGCTGGGAATGTGCCGGCACAGCCAGTGGGCCCTTGGATAGTATGAATGGGAGTCCCAATAGTGGCAGAGAAGCCCCTGGCCCCCGCAGGAATGTGTGGGTCTCCTGCTGGGGCCTAGACACCCACCTGGGAATTTTGCTGTTGACTTTTTATGCAGCTGGGGGCCACCCACTACTGCTCACCTTGCCCAGCTTCCTGGCCAGAAGACTGATGCCCTGGCTTGTTCTCAGACCTGAACATTAGGGAGGGGGCAGTGTAAGAACCTGGCCTTTGTCACTGAACCCTGGCTCTGCCATCACTCATTGATTTCAAAAAATTACCAAACTTCAGGAATGCTCCATTTTTCCACCTGGCAAGTGTGAGTGAGTGATAATTCTTGCTGCCTAGGGTGGTTTTGAGGAGTGTATTTGACTCATATGTAAAATACACTAGGTTTCATAACTCCATGAGTTGAAATGATGCATGTCAAACACTGAGGCAGGTCATGCAAATGTGTCTCGATACAAGGCAGCTTTATAAAACAGATGCTGTAGCACTGGGCACTTGGGATCCCTCTGAACCCCTGACCATATCTGCGTAGCGTTGCTGGCACATGCGCTCCCTTTAGGGTCTGCGGCCTCCTTCACATTCTCAGGAGATCTGAACATTAAGAACCACAGCTCCAGAACAGGGCTTCCCAGTCTCATCGCTGGTGACATTTGGGACTGGATCATTCTTTGTGGTGGAACTGTCCTGTGCAGTTTAGGATGTTCAGCACCATCTCTGGCCTCTGCCCATGAGGTGTCATAAGCATCCTTCTCTCCCTTCACAGTTGTGATAACCAAAAATGTCTCCAGACTTGGGCAACTGTTCCCTGGGATGGGGGTGGGGCAGGCAGAATTGTCCCCAGTTGAGAACAACTGCTTTAGATGTTCGGACAGGTCTGGGATATAACTTCTTTTGTTATGTTCACCTCTGTGTTATCTTTTTCCTTTTTTGCACGTAGAATATTTTTTAATTTATAGTCAGTAGATGCAGGTTAAGTGGGTTGCCTTCCTACCAGTGCACACATAAGGCTGGGGCAGGTCTTGAGGTGGGTATCTAAGAGCACTTTCAATGCCTCTCTAAACATCTCTGTCTTGAGCACTGGGTACTTATTTGTGTGGCTATGTTTGGGTGACTCCTGTCCTTATATAGTAGATCAGAACTCCCAGTCCCCCAGGCTGTCCCCAGAGTGCTGGTTTCATGTGAGGCATGACTAAGTGTTTCAAGGGGAGAAAAGGCTTGTTCTATCAAATAGGCTGGGCAGAAACTCAGGCCACCAGAGCAGGTGGTGAGATGCTCTAGATGTTCTTCCCCAAACACACCTCTGAACCTAGGTTTCCCAAGCATGCTTGGCCTTGGAACACTTATCTTTGTACCGCACCTGGGACACCTTGAAGTCCTCAAAGACACACTCCGGTGTTATTACAGACCTTCCACAATGTCATCTGATTCCCAGGGTCTGGTGTCACTGAAGAGATTGGCTGCTCGGCTTTAGACCTCCGTGCAGACTTACCGTGTTCTTAAATCACACCTCTCTCAACCCAGTTCCCCCTCCCTATCCCTGCAGCCTTTCAAGGTTGCTGGCAGAATGAAGAAAACCCAAGTAAAGGAGGTGACAGTCAGACTTATCACTTACCTCCATGTGCTTTAATTTCCTTTGCTTTTCTCTGTGTGTCTCCCGGGGTGGATTTGGTAGAGTCTCAGCCTTCCTCGTTCCCAGTGGTCTGTATTTGGCACGAAATTGGTATTTTTGCACCCCCAGCCCCATATTTTTTCCCTCTTATATTTGTAAAATGATGCTGTGTTGGTTTGGGGCATTGGCATTGGTTGATTAAAATAAAGAGCATCACCAAACCTCCTTGACATACAGTGTAACATTTTACTTCAAAAATTGTTTGAGCCCAGCATGGTGGTGCACACCTATAATACCAGCTACTCAGGAGGCTGAAGGAGGTTTGCAAGTTTGAGGTCAGCCTGGGCAACTTAGCAAGACCCTGTTTTAAAATAAAAATTAAGAAGCTGGGAGTGTTGCTCGGTGATAGAGCTTTTGTCTGACATGTGTGATGCTGTGGGTTCAACCCCTAGTACCCCCCTCCCAAATAAAAGGTTGATTGCTGAAAGTGGTGCCCCCTCTGGGTGTGGTGGGGATTAGTGACTATTTCACAGCAGGAAGGGCTAAGGCAGCTATACTGATATGCCTTCTGCAGTCCCAGAGCAGGCTAGGCCCTACCCTGGGTTCACACTAAGCATCATTACTCTTCCTGGATCTCCCAGATCCACATGTTGCAAAGCTCTGTGTGATAAGGGGACAGACCCTGAAAAAGAGGAATTGTCCCAGTGCTGTTATGCTTGCCACAGCATCTTAGACTCCATCCTAAATCTCCCCCTTACCCCCTCCTTCTCTCTCTCTCTCTCTCTCTTTTTTTTTTCCTGCAAGGTTCTGCCACCCTTCACCACTGGCAGCAGCTGGCCCAGCCTCACCTTGGGGGCATCCTGGACCCCCGGCCCGGTGTGGTCACCAAGGGCTTCCGGACACTGGATGTTGACCTGGATGAAGTGTACTGCCTTAACGACTTTGAAGAAGATGACACAGGTGACCACATTTCTCTCCCGGGCCTAGCTACCTCCACGCCAGTTCAGCACCCAGAGACCTCAGGTGAGAGGTCCCGAGCACACGTGACTGTCTCAGGCAGCAGAAGTTACCCGAGCCGGCCTCAGGCTTCCCCAGAGGAGATGCAGGAGATGCCAGCAGCCACGGAGGAGGAGGAGGAGGAGGAGGAGGAGGGGTCTGGTGAGGGCACCACAATAAGTCCTGTAAACCTGGCACCTTTACCAGAGGCAGAGTTCTGGGCCATTCTCACTTCTGTTCCGGGCATCATCTGTAGTGGCTCTTTGTCTGTAGCTTCCGCTCGTCTGTGTGGGTGACAATTAAAGCATTCCCATTGTGCCATTCTGTTTTTTAATACAGAGTCTCATGCCTCCTTTTTGTAACAAATGGGCGTAGCCCCTGCCCATCTTGGAGGTGCAGGGATTTTTAAATGGGAGCAGGAGAGGCTGCTAAAAAGAAGTGGGTTATCGGCCTTACAAGAACGTCAGGACCCTTCTTCCTGTTATCGGTGTCGCCCCATGTCTGAGGGGCAGATTCTAGAGTGATTTCCCGACTGAACGGGGCTGACCTGGGCAGTGCTAGGGGAATTGTGAGTTCTGGGTCATTCTGAAAGCAAATGACAGAATCTGTTACCTGCGGGTTGCACTGAGAGAGAGAGAAGCCCAGAAAACGTTCAGGATCCAGACAACACTTGATAGACCAGCCTTTTGACTTTAATTACTTCAATGAAGGCATATATGTCACTTTCTTTCTAGCTTACACATATTCAAAGTGGAATTTTTCAAAGTCATTAACCAAATAAACCCTAACAGAATGTCATTAAATTCTTCCAGAGGACTCTAGATGAATCTAGAAAAGACATTGAGCTGATCTTGCCTCCCCACTCCCCTACCCTAGTCTCTGAAGGTGAGCCTGAGTTTGTAGAATGACCCATCTCAGTTGCCCCTAGAATGGGAAGCTTTCTACTCAGGGCCCTGGGAGCATGGGTCTGTGGTCACCATATGCCCCAGATAGTTACCCTTTACTCTTCCTGGATCTCCCAGATCCACATGCTGCAAAGCTCTGTGTGATAAGGGGACAGACACTGAAAAAGTCCTGTCATCCTTGTTACATTTCTGAGTCACCACCTTTGAAGGAAGGACATTCATCTTTGTGATTCACAATTTTCATCTGCAGAGACTCCAGCATTCCCCACAAAAACACAAGGCAGGAAGGAACCAAGGTTCTTGGTGGTGTCTCCCATCCCTTGGCTAATTTCTGATAGCTGTGGTCAAGAGACTTGATTTGGGCCTGATTTTTCTTTTTCCTTTGTTGTCAACTTCCAAGGAGTCATAGGTAAAGTTGACAATTGTTTAACATTTAGATTTATTTATGGTTTGATTTTTTTAAAGCAATTAAGTAACCAGATTAAGTTTGTGCAAAAATGAAGATGCTTATCTATGTAGTATCTACACAGTCAACAAAGGGCAACTGGCCGTGTTAGCCATCCTACCCCTGTCCTAGTGGCCATCTGGCAGGCAGGTGTCCTTGAAGAACAGTATCTGAGTGACTTGTACTGAAAGGGTAGACAGTGCCTTCCCCACAGCTTTACAGGTAGAAGGTGAATCCAGGAAGTTCAAGGACTACCACTGGGTGCATCTTTGAGAAGTTGAACAGAAGCTATCATGTTGACAAACAACTTCTCTTGGAGGACCAAGGGAGAGAGGGAAGTGATGATGAGACTAAAGTCCCAACCATAAGCACTGGTTTACATAAAAAGGAAGGGAGCAGCTCCTGGTGGAAAGGAGCCAGGAAACTAATCATGAGGACTAAAAAGTCACCATAAGCAGTGACCGTTCTTCCTAGGCCCTCCTTACTGAAACCTGCAGCAAATCCACCCCAGCAACGTTATTTGAGGTGAGGCATGCACAGTTATAGTTGAAACTGTAGAAGGGTCAGGCTCAAGATATGTGAATTCAAAAAGGAATTATCTAGGTTGTTAAAAGTAATTTAGGGATGGTCTCATTGTTTGAATGACCTAGAGTTCTTTTGAACTTGTTTTCCTGATAAGACCCATCTCTAAAAGCTCATCAGAGCGGGAAGGATGTACTCTGACTTGGCTCTTTTTTTCTCTGTTGGGAATGACAGAGCCATTTTGATGTTTGGAATGTGGAAAGCATTTTACTCTGTACATAAATCATCCTCGAGGCTCCAGGTGGCTCTCTGTATACAACCAGTGAGTCACAGGCAGACAGATGAGCCTCGGTGGGAAGACTTGGGGCATCCTCTGAATTTGGGGATTTGTATCCAGCTGGTCTGGTCTGTGCTTTGGTCCATCATCCACACTTAGCCACAGTCCTGGGATTCGCCATTCTGTCCAGGAAGATTTCATAGGGAGAAATTCTGAAAACAAGTTGATTAACCTTTTTTCTTAACAACTGGTGTGATGGGCAAACTGGGAAGACTTGTATTTTAGGCACTTTTGTCTAGAGCCTGCTGTCCCATGTCAGGGGTGGGGGGAGTTTTGAGCACTGAAAAAATTTTATTAATATATTTTAATGTGTTCTTTGAAGTATCACTTGGTGATTTTTTAAAATCCAATGTCTTTAAAAGGATCCATGTTATTGTATTGTAAATAATTTAGATGATTAAAATGGATTATTTTAAACAATATTTAGATTATAGTTTCACTTTATTTCAGTGACATGTTTTTTTGTTCTGATTCACATAGGAAATGCACTTGATTAGAAACAGTCCATATCTTGTCCTGACAGTGTTCTGTATTTTAGATTTTTATGTGTAGGGAAGAGCCTCTATGTGGCAGACGATTAAGAGTTAAGTTCACACAGTTAAGTCAGTAGTTGGCTGGCCTGATGGACCATTCAGGTGAATTATCTTGGATGCCTTGATCCTTAAAGGTGAAGAAAGTGTGAGATTAAAGCTATGCCCACAGAAGATGTTGCAGGTCAGTTTATTCAGCATTTATACATATGGAGCCCATTTTACCTGAAGAAATATCTGGAATCATGCAGACAGTGGCATCTGATCTGGTAGTGAGTGACCCTGCAGTAGAGATATGTCATAACTGGGGCTGAGATCCTGAAGTTGGTATTGGAAGGCGGTCACACTTGGTCAAAACAGGCCTTGAAAATTTCCCTAAGTCTCCAACACCTGGCCACCAGAGGTGAGAACCAAGAATCAGCTTTCATCACATCTTTGTTTTATGCATAGGTCCAAATTCCATTCAGGAGCAGTTACAGAGTGTGGGGAAAGGGAACGGAATAGGTTGTGGTGGAAAGGAGCCAGACAGAAAGTTCTTGCAGCCATGTGTTCCTATGGCTTTATCACAGGGCAGGGGCCAGTTGCAGTACACCTTCATCAGCTTGTATCCTGTCTTGCTTTCAGTCAGTCTCACTCATGTCCACAGAAGTGGGTCCAGATAAGCTCGTGAAGGAAAGGTGGCCCAGGGACCCAGCAGAACCAGACAGAAAAGGCTGGTACACTGGTTGACAGGCCTTCAGATGTCTTTGGTGTAGGGAAGTTCCTTTTCAGTGTCTTGTGTGAGGAAGCACTTTTTGATCCAGCCTGGCTCTATTGCAGTCTGCCCACACCCACCCACATCAGGACCTGCCGAGGAAGCCCCTGTGCTCTTGCATCAGCATGTATGTGAAGCCAGAGCAGAGCAAGCCAACTGCAGCTTGGAAGTCGAATAATGAAGAATGAGAATGAAAAACCAACAGCATAGAGCCAGCCCTGCTTAGAACTTCCAGAGCAGAGAGCACTTGCTGAAAGCAGTTTCTTTATGGTCTCCATACCTGGGAGAACCACAGGAGGCCCCTCCAGAGTCTAGAGGTTCCCACATGGGTGCTCACTGGTGAGCATCAGCTCTTGACTCTTCTTACATGGAGGGGCCTTTGTGGAAG